AATAAATATGCAACATCTGGTTACTATGTGACTTGAGAGTGGGAAAGGGTTGACGAAATCAGGGTTTCATCCTCAAAACCAGGCTTGTGATATGAATCTGTTCCTATACATTCTCACATTTTAACTGAAGATTGATGAATGTTTCTGTTTGCTTTTTTTGGGGGTTACTCAATCATTTTTGACACTAATAACCATAAATCACCTCATACCATTGAGAACATTACCAAATACCACTGAGAACCGATCATTGCCCTTACCAATGAAAATATTGTAAAATCTTCAAGAAAGCACTGTCTTCCAACTGCAATACACTGTCACAACCTTTATATTTTACTAATTGGTTCATTTATACCACAGAGGAGAGCAGTGTAAACAGGTGACAGCGCCAGGGCTTCATTTTCCACAATAAAAGAAGAAGAATAGTGAGATTTTGTGTAGCCTGCATTCAGTGTCCCCGAGTCTGTCCTTGACCAAGCCAGGGCGCAACCACAACAAACCACTTAGAAAAGGGAAATTAAATAGAACAACTACAATAGCATGGAGAGAAAGCAGACATGGCAGGGGTTTTCCTCTGTGTCATCCTACAAGGTCAAAACAAAAAATCCTAATCTATCTCTCTGATCCCTATAACACGCAAGCTTCTTAAAATGTACTCAAGAAAAGGAATTCTGCATATCAACTGACCCCTGCACTGAGTGGTGGATTGATTGAAGAGGATAATAAATCATAGCTGTGAACTGATTGACTCATGCCCCCTGCTGGTATATTTTAACCACTGACTGACACTGTGCTGTCTTTTTTTTTTTTTTTAAATCATTGAACCACAATACATTACAAATCCAGCCAGTATACATGTTTAAACATCTGCACAACATGTAAATATGGAATAAAAACTGACCGTAATTATAAATATCAAGTCATTAATAGTAGATAGTCAAAGATCAAGTGATGTTTTCAGAGAAGCTTGAACTATATGCTGTTTCCCCTAAAGATACCTTAATAAATAAGTATCAAGCAACAGGCAACAATCTAGAGCAGGGGTATACAAACTTTTTCCCTCAGAGGACCAAAATTGAAACTTAATGGTGGGCCAGTTAAGTAATGGATTAGTATCCAGCATCTTCATCTGTACACCTAATCCATTGTACTAAATAGAACAATATCCACTTAATAAACACTTTGATGAATTCAAATAAATACATTTGTAACGTGACAGAGGGTGTTGATTCTCACCACCATCCACAA